ACCCGCGTCACCAAGCACGCCCCACTGGCCAGCAGGCCCAGGGCCATGACACGCGGCCCCCAGGTAGCCTCCAGGAACACGGTGGTCCTCCCAAGGGGCGAGCGCGGCATGGCTCTCACTCCTGGTCGGCGGCAACGGGTCCAGTCTCTCCACCAGCAGCTACACCGACAGCGTCTGTCGGCGCAGTCACGCTAACGAGGCCTGCAGGGGCGTTCTGGCGCCCAACTGACGACACGGCCAGCGCGTCGCCCGCGCTAGGATCGTCACTCGCTCCTCCCAGGCTCAGACCGGGGACGCGACTGACCGTCGCGCGAGCAGGTGGCACAGGCGGCCCCTGGCGCCACTGGCCCCCAGGAGTAACATGGGATAGCCACTCTGGGCCCGAGCGCACACGGCGCAGGCCTGGGCCCGAGACACGGGGGAACAGGGCGAGGCCACGCCTCGCGCGTTCCGACCAGGAACTCGAAGCGAATCCAGCCGCGGAGACGGGGGGGCCCGAGCCGCACGGGACGGCGAGCCCCCACCCGAGCCCACCCGCGTTCATGGTCAATGGTCCCCGGCTGGACCCACGGACCAAACCCCGCGATGGAGCCAAGGCAGCGCCACGCCCTCTCGCTCAGCCCACTCTACGACGTCGTGCCCAGCGGCCGCAGGCCCTCGGGGGGAGGCCGCACATTGGACAGCTGACCGCCTACCTGGGTCGAGAATGACGCGCCGCTTGTCCTCGTCTTGCGCCGCGCAGACTAAGTGCCAACCACTGGCAAACGCGGCCCCAGCCGCGCGCGAAAGCCTCGCGCGGGAGCCGCGCGACGCAGTCGCCAGACGTCTCGCCAGCGTGCGCGGGGCTTCCACATGATCAGCCTGCTGCGACGATTGCACCGCTTGCCCGCGCTCCCTGCCGCGGGGGCGCTGGTCGACGCGCGGGGCTCGGCGGCCGGCCGCGTCGTCGGCGGCGCCGCTGGCCGCGACCGCGACCGAGGCGCCGGCCCGCCCGTCGAAAAAAGCGTCGCAACGCGCGCGGGGCGCCCTGCATGCTCCTCCCCGACATCGCCGGCGCCGCGATCGTCGTCGCCCGAGCCAGGGCGGGCGCTGAGCAGTCGGAACGGGCTGGGTCTTCGGCCGCCGTCGCGACCTGGCGGCACCGGAGCGTCGGCCGCCACCCGGGGGCGCCGAGGGCTGCCAGGACTGGCGGGCTCGCCACCAGGGTGGGCGGCGAACCCGGCGGCGACGATGGGGCCGGGGCCGGGGGGCCCGCCCGCGCCGCCACCCGCCCCCCCGCGCACCGGCCTCCATCCACCACGCGGCAGACAGCGGCAGCGTCTGCCTCTCCAGAGGCGACAGCGGCCGCGGGGATCTCCGCGTCGACGTCCGCCAACGCCTGGACGCCCCCTCCAAGAGGTGCTGCGCTCATCCCGGAAGGGGTGTCGCGCGAACTGGGCGGCCCGCCACGCCGGGGGCACACGGCGCAGCCTGCCGTCGGCCGCTGCGAAGGGGCCCCCGTGGCGCCCCCCACACACGACGCCGCGAATCAGATCCCCGCAGGCGCGGCAGCGGAATTCAGACTGGGCCCGCCAAGCACGTCGGCCCCGGCCATCATTCTCGAGAAGGGCCGAGCGCGGCGGCGCAGCCTGGGGCTGCGCGCTGTCAAGTAGCGCCCTCTGGGCCCAATCGCAGAAATCACGGCAGAGCAGCGCGTCGTCGCCATGGGCGCCACCCGCGTCGCAGGTCACCGCCGCCGCCCCAGCGTCGAAGCCCGCGGCCCCCCTCCTCCGCCCCCGACGCCGCGCCGCCCACCGGAGGGGCCAACATGTCGTCGCAGCCACGGACGGGGTGCTCAGGCTGGCCATGGATAGCCCGTCGCCCAGGACCAGGCGCGCCGGGAATACCAGGAGACAGGCGTTCTTCGAAGCAGATCCGCGGCGCGGCGACGAGGCTGGGAGGCGCCCCCGGTCAGGGGCGGGGGCGGGCGAGCGACCCCGCGACCCTCCGCCGCAGGCCGGAGCGCCGCTGGTCGCACCCCCGCAAGCCCGGGTCCACCCAGGCGAGGCTCGCTGGTTTCCAATACTGCCATCATCGCCAGGGAAGCCACGGGCGGCGAGAGGACGGGGCGAAGGGGGTGAGCGGCGAGACCGTCGCCACGCAGCGCGCTCTGACACGCCGGTCTGGCGCCGCTACCTCTGCGGATCTCATCGCCGGGCGCCCCCAGACAGCCCCCGTCGGGGCGCGTCGGTGCGAGGGCCCCCCGCGCCCCCCAAGGCTCCAGGAGAAGGCCGCAACAGGGCGCCCGCCTCGGCCGAGACGCTTCCCGAGCGGGCGAGCACTGAGCCAGCGGGGAACGCGACTGCGCGGGCCTCGCGAGCTGCGCCAACGACGAACTTGCAAGGCCACCCATGTCTGAGTTGCCACCGCCCGCAAGTTCACCATGCCTGCCCTCCTCCAGGAGCGCCCCAACCTCAGCCCAACGTTCGCGCCGCTGCTCGCGAAGTCCGTCGCGCGGTCGCGCAGCTGGGGCCCGTCGCGCCGCTCGCAATGACGACGCCGAGAACCGTCGCGCCGTCGAACGTAAAGGGGCCCCAGAATACACAAATAAATACACACAAATAAAACGATTCCCCATATTTCCCATATATTATAGGTTTTTCCCCCCCCCCCGCCACTTCCCATTTTTTCGCATATTTTCCTGGGGATCGACGATTAATTGTGTCTATGTGTTTTTCCCCTCCTGAGAAGGTCGCGCCGCCGGAGTCGATCGCGCCGCCCCCTAACCCCTTGCGCAACAGAGCGGCTCATCCACGCCCCCACCTGCACCGGCGGGGGCGCTGACTTCGGCGCACCCAGGTGCAGGGGCGACGACGCTGCCGACGGAGGTCCCGGCAGCGCCGGCGAGGGCGCCGGGGTCGTTGATCCGCCCTGCGGTGGCGAAGATGCCAGCGTCAATGGCCCGCACTGCGCTGACCAAGATTTCGGGGTCGCTGGCCCGCACTGCGCCGACGAGGGCGCCGGCGCCTGCGCTCCGGGCCGGGCGAGCGAGGACGCCGGCGCAGGTGCACCCGGGGGCGCTAGGCCAGTCGACCTCCACGGGGGGGCCTGAACATGCGTCGCCACGGAGTCCCAGGGCGCGCTCTGATATTGATTTCGCGGCGAGTCCAGCCTTGACACCGCCACTCTCGTCGCCAATCTCCTGCGGCCCCGCCCCCCCCATCATCCTGCACCCCCCGCGCGCGCCGAGACGACGCCGGCGTCGGCGCCCCCAACTGCGCCGGCGAAGATGCCGGCGTCGGCGCCCCCAGGTGGACGGGCAAAAAGCTGGCGACGGAGCTCCTGGCAGCGCTGGCGAAAATACGGGGGCCGTTGATCCGCACCGCGCTAGTGGCGACGCTGGAGTCGGCCTCGCTCGAGCTAGCGAGGATGCTGACGCCAGCGCCCCCCGCTGCCCCGGCAAGGTCGAGGCGTCGGCGCCCCCCGCTGCGCGGGCGAGGGCGCAGGCGCCCGCGATGCAGGCCGCCCCGCCCAGGCTGCCGACGCTGCCGCTCTCGGCTGAGCTGGCGGGGACGCCGGCGCCAGTGCTACCAGCTGCGCTGGCAGAGGTCCTGGCGCCGGTCACTTCGGCAGTGCTAGCGAGGGCGCTGGCGCCAGCGACCTCAGCTCTGTTGGCGAGTATATTGCCGTCGGAGCTCTCTGTTGCGCCGGCGAAGAGGCTGTCCGCAGTACTCCTGGATGCGCCAGCGAGGGCGCTGGCGCGGGCGCCCCAAGCTGATCTGGCGTGCGTCGGCGACCTAAGCTGTCCTGGCTCCGACACCTCTTCCACGACGGTCGCCCCCTCCCCGCCCTCGTCGCCGACCTCCGCCAGCCCGACGACCCCCTCCTCCTCGAAATGCGCCTCCCGACCCCCCGCCTAAGGGACAATGGCTGCAAGCACTCGCGCAGCGTGCCGGTGATCTCGGGGGCGGGCCCCATGATCGCTAGCATTCTCACGCGGCCGTGCTTGAGGTCTGTCTGGCGCTGGCTGTCGGGCATGCCGCCGCCGCGGGCCGCGGCCTCTGGAGACGCCGTCGCGGCCAAGCCGCCTCGGCGACGCGGGCGGCGGCAGCGGCCCCGGAAGCAGCACAAGCGGTGCCGCCAACGGCAGCGGATGCCGCCGCGGCGGCGGCCCACGCCGCCCCGCGGGCAGCACAGGCAGGGCCGCAGACCGCGGACGCCATCGCCGCCGGCGCGGCACTGAAGGCGCCAGCAGCAGGAGCAGCAGCAACAGCAGCAGCAGCAGCAGCAGCAGCAGCAGCAGCAAGCCGCGCCTGGCGAGGGGCGCCCGACAGCCAGCGGCGCATCCAGGCCGCGGTCGGCCCGCGGCGGGGGGCCAGCGGCAGCGCCCGAGCGGCCGCCGCGCGTCGCCGCCGCCGGCGAGGCGCCGGCAGCAGCAGATGCAGCGCCAGGCAGCAGCAGCAGCAGCAGCAAGCCCCCAGCGCCAGCCGCCAGCAGGGGGCTGGCGGCGGCGGCGACGACGGCAGAAGCTGTGCCCAGACCAAGCGGCCCAGCCCGCAGGCCGGCGGCCAGGCGCTGCCGACGCCGGATGGCGGCGCCCGACAGGCCACCAGCAGGAAGCGCGGACATGGCGTGGGAGGCAGGGGCAGGAACAGGGAAGGCCCTCTCTCTGCCCCCACTGGCAAGCAGGAGGTCGGGGTCGACCCCCTACCCCGCGGCCGCGGCCGCTGCGGCCCGCTCAAGCCGCTCTGACACAAAAAAACGTATCACCCGAAGCGTGGTTTGCTATTTTGGTATAATCACATGAAATATACATATATACACACAAACACATGCGTATATATTCATATGCATATTATACATACAGATGAGGCCAAGATACGTCTTAGGGAAAACCTTGCAATGCCTGCGACCCTGGGGAGGAGCGTACAGCGTCGACCCAAGAAATCAACGCGGACATCCGAAAGCTCATGTCTGTGCCGTTGCTTGCTTTTGGCCAGAAGTATCGGGGCCCCGAAGGCCTCCAGGTCCACGGCGGCTCCGATGATCGACGAGCGCTGCTCGAGCACCTCCTCCTCGCAAGCGCGGGCGCCTCCGCGATCTCCCGCGGGGAGCGGCTCAGCCGGGCACATGAGCCCGTGCACGAACAGCTCCGCCACCTTCGCGTGAGGCTCGAGGACGGAAGTGCAAGGATCGAAAAGCGAAGTCCTCTGTGCCCTTTCATCCTTCGTTGTCCAAGGGCCTCCGGGGGCCACTGGGGACCTCTGGAGGCCTCTGGATACCTCTGGGTGCCTCCAGGACAACTGTGCCCGGCCACGAGAACCTACAGATACATCCATCCAAAAGCTGCCTAAACGATGACGACGACGATCACGACGACGACGACGACGACGACGACGACTAAGACAACGACGACGACGACGACGACGACGACGACGACGACGACGACGACGACGACGACGACGACAACGACGACAACCACGGCGATGACGACGACGACGACGACGACGACGACGACGACGACGGCCACGGCGATGACGACGACGACCACGACCACGACCACGACGACGATGACGACGCCGCCGCCGCCGCCGACGACGACGACGGCAACCGACAATGACTACGAGGATGACGACGACGGCGGCAGCGACGACGACAACGACGACGACGAGAAGCGACGAGCGGCGAGCGATGACGACGGCGACGGCGGCGGTGACGCCGTCCAGAGGCCTCCCGAGGTCTCCGGCTGGGTCCCCACAAGTAGTCTCTGGAGGCTTCTGGAGGCCTCTTGAGGCCAATGACTACTAAAAGATTCGCAGACCACGACACCCTCAATCGCCATCGGCAGCGACGGCGACGACGGAGGCGACGACGGCGACGACGACGACGACGAGGAACGACGCCGACGACGACGACGACCATGAGCATGAAGAAGAAGACATAGAAATCGGCATGGACATAGACATAGCCATAGACATAGACATAGACATAGACATAGACATAGACATAGACATAGACATAGACATAGACATAGACATAGACACAAGCCTAGGCAGATGAATAGGCATAGACATAGAGATAGACATGGGCGTAATTCGCCGGCCCAACGGGCCAGGGCGTGCCAAGATCTCCGGTAACAGGTAAACAGTATTTCTAGTTCGCGCGCGCAGGGCGGCCCCTGGGGGTCCCCGAGCGAAAAGTACCCCAGGCGATCCCCGGCAGATCCCCGGCAGACTAGGGGTCAGAGATGCCGGAATTCTGTTTCGGAGCCCAAGAGGGCTCCAGATCGCCCCAAGAGGGCCCCAAGAGGCCCCAAACATGGTCCAAGAGGGGCCCCAGACGCCCGAAGATCGCTCCACGACGCCCAAGATGGCCTCCAGACGGCCCAAGAGGCCTCCAAGATGGCCCAAGAAGCATCTAAGAGGCCTCCAAAAAGGGCCCCAAGAAGCAAAAATCGTTGATTTTCCATTGGTTTTTGAAGGTTTTTGGCGTTCTCGCATTTTCAGCTTCCGACGCTCCAAGACGCCCCAAGAGGCCCCCAAGACCGCCCCAAGACCGCCCCAAGACGGCCCGAGAGGTCTCCAAGAGGGCCCCCAAACGGCCCAAGATGGCCCCAAGACTGCCCAAGAGGCCTCCAAGACGGCCCAATACACCCCCAAGACGGCTCCAAGAGAGGGCACAGACGGGGGACCCGAACGGGCATTTCGACATCTTTGCCCGAAGAGGCCCCTAGGAGGCCCCAAGAGGCCCCCAAGAGGCCCCAGGAGGCCCAAAAAACACCTCCAACAGGCCCCCGAGAGGCCTCCCAAGAGACCCCACGAAGCCTCCCAAAGAGGCGTCTTGTCCACGACCAGGGTTGGCCCAAAAAATACTCCAAGAAGCCATCGAGAGACCGCCTCCTCGTCCTCATCCTCCCCTCTTCATCCTCCTCCTCCTCCCCCTCCTCCAACTTCTTCTCGCTCGCCACGAACACACAAACATATAGCACCAGCGATACAATGTGGGCCGGCGGAATGAGCGAAGCGATTAAATAATCGGCATTGACATAGACATAGACATAGACATACACAGAGATATAGACATAGACAGAGACATCTACATAGACACAGACATAGACACAGACATAGACGATATGTATAGACATATATCGACATAGACATCGCCATAGACATCGACATAGACATCGACATAGACATCGACATAGGCATAGACATAGACATAAACATAGACATCGACATCGACATCTACATAGAGACTGAAGACATATACGCGACGACCAACAGAGAGGCACGGCGGCGGCGGCGAGCCCACGGCGGCCACCGACGGCGAGACGGTTTCGACGGCTACGGCAACCGACGCCGACGGTGGCGGTGAAGACGGCGAAATGACGGCGGGGACAAACGACGGCGAAGGCGGCGAAGGCGGACGGCGACTACGGCCGGCGGATGGCGGGCCTTGCCGCGAACGGGGTCGCCAGGCAGCGGCCCGCCGCCCCACCGTCGCAGCAGCGCCGCAATGTCGGCGCGCACCGCGGCCGCGGCCACCGCGCCTGCCGTGGCCGTCTCGCCGTCGTCATGGTGGTGGTAGCCGTCATGATGGTGGTCGACGTCGTGGCCGTGGTCGTCGTCATGGTCGTGGTTGTGGTATTGGTCGTGGTGGTGGTCGTGGTGGTGGTCGTGGTCGTGGTCGACGTCGTAGCCGTGGTCAAGGTTGCAGTTGTGGTCGTGGTCGTGGTCGTGGTCGTGTCCGACGTGGTCGCGGTCAAGGTGGTAGTTGTGGTCGTGGTTGCAGTCGTGATCGTGACCGTCGTCACACTCATCATCATCCTCATCGTTGTCATCATTATCGCAGTCACTGGCACCACGTTCATGATCATCATCACCATCACCATCATGATATCACCAGCATCGTCATCATAATCGTCCTCACCATCACCCTCACAACCATCCTCACAATCATCATGATCAGCATCATCACCGACATCACCATCATCATCACCATCATCATCATCATCATCATCATCATCATCATCATCATCATCATCCAGGTGGTGGGCAGTGCGTTGACCCATCCCACTGAGTTTATCTGGAGGGGGGAAATGGCATCTTCAGCTGTCTGGCCTGTTAAGTTACAGCTGCCGCCGAGGCTCTTCACGCCCCTGTTGCGGCCACCCTGCTTGAAGATCTCAAGTACTCTGAAACCCAAGCTCCATATGCCCAACCTCGAAACAAGAAGATTCTGAAACACAACAATCCAGATTTCCTGGCCACGTCACAAACAAGCCCCCTTAGCTCGCATGCGCAGGCGCCCCAGACGCAGAACTCACTCGGCAGTCCTACTGCCTGAACTCAGTCACCTGCAGAATGCCGTCACTGTGAAGAACCACACGCGCACAAACCTGCGGGCCACGGTCACCCAGGCCCCTGGCAGGCGGCAGGCCTCGAGCTCCCTGTCTGTCATGGCACTAACGTACATGGCTGGCACGGGCAGGCCGTGCAACGTAGAGTTCAACTGCTGCAAGATGGCCTCCTTCTCGAGGGCGACGTCTGGGTCGAAGACGCCCCAAAAGGGGTGACCCCACTTGATCTTGAAGGCCATCTGGAGGTCACCCACGTGGATGCCGAATACGCCTGACGCTCCAGCAACTGCCCTGAGAGCCTCATCGGGTCGTGGAGGTGGTCGACTGATGTTCAGAAGTCTTTCACGAGCAACTTCGGCAGGAGGTCGGAGTCGTCGGCGGTGCGCTCGGCGCGGCGCTGGTGCATGGTCATGTTGGCCAGTTCGACGCCATGCCGCGCCTCGCCCAGCACGCTCATCGACTTCTTCGAAGCGCGAAGCGATGGCCGAGACGCATTGGGCCGCGGTCACCACCGCCGAGAGGTCCCCGTACACAACGTGGCCCGCCGAGACCGAGACCTACGCCGCCACGCCCAGGACGGCGCCGACGTGCCTCACGGGCGTCGCCAGGTAAAGCCACTCCATTAGCATGACGGCCACGGCCGCCCACGTCACGCCGCGGCCGCAGGCCCTCCAGCACCAGCGCACCGCGGCCACGCCCACACGCAGCACCACCAAGCCGCACACGCCCTGGACTCGCAGCGGCCTGCGGCGGCTGCGGCACCACCGCCGCTGGCGGCGGGGCTGCCCGCGTCCCCGCGCAGACGGCCACGTCCCCAGGCGCTTGGGCTGGGCAACAGGCGCCAGCTGCGCGGGCGGCGCTGCCGGGGCCAGGAGCCCGTCCTCCAGCGCCCCCAGTCGCGGCATCGGCAGGGGTCTCGGCCCCGCCGCGGCAGGCGACGCCACTCGGCGCCCTCGCGACAGCGGCGGCGGCCAGCCCGCGTGGGGCGGGCGCGAAGCAGCCGCGCCACCTTCTCCCGTTGCCCAGAAGCGCCATGGTCACCGCTCTCGGGCTCGCCGAAGATGCCCGCGTGGAAGTAGCAGGACAGCTTTTCGGCCGCCTCGCGGACCAGCTGCGCAACGCCTCGCTGCTCAGCCTTGACCAAGACTCCGGATGCGGTAACACTATCCACGTAGATGCGGAGACTGGATTCCGTGGGCCACCTTCCCTGCTCCTTGAAATTTTGCATTGGAAACGAGCACCACGAGCCGCGGAATCGCCGGCGAACCCCACGAGCACCCAGCGCGTCGCCCAATGGATGTCCAGATTCCAGGCCTCCTCACCCCGATTGAACCTGCGGCCATAATCCACAATCGAGCACGGGAAGAGGGGGTCCTCTGGAAGCGCCCCCTGGATGACCCGGCGCAGGAGGTCCCTTGGGACCCCGCAACGCTCCAGCATGAAAGCGCGTCCTATCATTTCGGCCTTTGGCCCCGATCTAGCCCCGAAGACGATTACCCGATCTGACCCAGTTAGGTTGACGATCTGACCACACTCTCGATTATGACAGTGGCACAGACTTTCCTCTGAGCTGGAAAACCGAAGCCGGGCAAAGTCCCCGATCCACCTGGAGCAGAAGTCCCACTCCGAGCCTCGGTGCTCCCCAGCAGGCAAAGTACATCGCCATCAGGTTCGCTGGTAGTCGTCCCAGGGGCGGAGCATGCTTGACTTCTGCTGGAACACGCCATGCATCAGATATGGAGTGCGACCAAGTCAACTTCCTCCTCAGGCGTGGGACCACGATCTCCACTGCCGCCACCACGTACTCCAAGGTGCACTTGGTGAGTCTGATGTCGTTAATGAACTCGACGAGCAGGTCGCCCCACGGCTAGAGTCCGTCGGGGGCGAAGCCGCGCTCGTCCAAGTAGTTCACGGACTTCAGCGCCGCTGCCATGTAGGTGGCCAGGACATGCGGACTCATCCCCTCAAGAGACGCAGCACCAAACCTCCACGGCTCCGACATGGCTCAAGTCGCGCAGGTCAGCAGGTTGCCTGGTCGTCCCCAACCAAGAATCAGAACTGGCGCGCGACGCCAGCGCTGCTGCTGTCTTCTGTCGCAACAAATGATTATGATGGCGTGCGCCCATTGACACCGTTTGGCTGTCCTCCCATACTGGGTGCGCCGTCCGGTGCAGGGCTGGCGACGCTGCCGCCATCCTGCCCATATTCGCCACGCGCGTGCCACGCACCCGCCTTCGCCCAGCGCGATGTGGTCAGCTGTTCGCCATCGCCCTTCTCCGACCACCGCCCTCTCCTCGCCGGGCTTGAAGACGCGGCCCAGCAAGAGGCCGCAGGGCCTTCGTCCGGCGAATCATCTGATCGGGCCACCGCAGCACTGATAGCCCGCCGCCGAGGCGCGCCCCCCGCGTCGACGAAGTCCCTGGCTATGGAGCCGTCCATGAAATTTGCCAGCACTCCCCAGCCGCCGTCGCCCAAGTCGGTCGCCCCCATCGCGCCCGCCAAGAAATGCGTCGGAGCTGACCCGGCCCCCAGGCCCGCGCACATCAGCGGCGCGGCCATGGCCATCGGCCCCCTGCGGACGGACATTGAGGGCTCCACGCACTGCAGTTGGCATCGCCCCAGCAGCCTGATCACGGCGCTGGGGCAACACGGCACTTCCCCCCGCTGCAGTGCGCGCCAGATTCAGACGCCAAGCAGGGACCTGAGCAACTCGGCACGTGCTCGTCGACGCGAGCCGAGCGCCTCGAGCTGCGTCGCCAGCTCCTCCGCCCGCGCGGGCGGCATCCGCAAGCGCGCGATCTCGCTCCGCGTGGCGCGGCCCGGCACCTTCCTCATCTCGGCGGCTTCGGCGCGGTCCGTCACCGCGAAACCCGCTTCAACCGAGGCGCGTGCCAAGATGCGCGTGGACTCGGGAACCTTCGAGCCGCCGCCTGGGCCACGGGCCACCACCGCGCCGTCGCAGGTAGGAGGCCGGCCGCGGACCGCCCAGCTCCAAGCCCCGCCCCAGCCGCGCGTCCTCGCTCTTGAAGGCGGCCGCAGAGTGCGAGGCACCCCATCGCCACTCACGCCGCCACCGCCCCGTCGGCCTCTCGCGGTCGCCGCCAACCTGCGCCCCCGAGGCCGCCCACGTTGACGGGCCAGCGCGTCGACGACCCGCTCGCCCAGCCTTCCGCGCATCCCCCCGGGATGCTGCACCAGGGGCTGGGACGGAAGGCCCCGTCCTCAAGTGCGCCCTCGGAGCTTTCGCGCGCGCGGCCTCCGTCGAAGCGACGTTCGCTTCGCTCGGCGAGTCCTCGCAGCGCACCAACCAGGCTGGAAGGCTTCTTCTTCGCCCCCCCCCCCCCCCCCATGCATGCACTGGTCCTGGCACGCTTGCGTCGCCGCGCGCCGTTGCTCGAACTCCCGCACTTCGGCGGCGCCCCACGCTGGCGGGCAGGGCGCGCGCCCGGGCCCACAGGGCGTTCTACGAGGAAGGCGCCGCCACAGCGGCCACACGCCTCGCGCATCCAAAATGTTCAGCGCCACAGCGAAGCTCCTCGGCCACTCGAGCTGCCTCCCACGATTGGAAACCCGGCGAGCTCCATGGGCAGAGCCTCGACCACACGGAGGGCGGCCTCCGCTCGCGACGGCGGCCGCGGGCCCTCGACCAAGAAGAGCACGGCGGGCCGCCAAGCACCAAGTCGATCCAGCCCACCTCGCACATCTCCATCAGCACCGAGAACGTCGCCGCGCTGGCCAGATCCCACCTCGGGTCGTCCGCGAGGTCGGCTGAGGGGGAGAGGGCCCGCAGCCCTCGCCCAGTGGCCCGTCGCTTCGCGGCTGCCTGCACGTCTGTCTGGCGGCGGCGGCCCGCGAGGAGGCGCACCACGGCCAGCATCCGATCGCCCTCCCCCATTGCTACCATCACCGCAGTGATCCACTCGGCGACGCTCGGAAGCTGGGCGAGGGCTGCTGAAACCGCTGCTAACTTCCCGGAATGAGGCGCGGCACGCGAAACAATCAACGGGCTTCTTCCCGGAAGGACGAAGACAACTTCCCGGAGGTCGATTCTAGCAGCCACGGAATTAGCAGCCCTTGCCTGGCTTCCGAGACGCTGGAGCCGCTCGCTCGTGCAGCTGCCCCGCTGGAGCACGCGGTCGCCGTCGCAGCGGCGCGCCTGCCCCGCCTCCGCGGAGGGCCCACTGCCGCGC